CCCCCCCCCCCCCCCCCAAAAAAAACCACCAACAAACCAACAAAACAGACAGACATGGGAGCTTCTTCCTGATGTTTCAAAATTAGATTGTGTGAACTCACTTTCTGTGCTTATGTGTGTGTTTAGTGTGAAGCAGGAAGCCTAGGAGATGGGGGAAAAAATAACTTTTGTTGCATAGTAAGCAGTTTGACCGGCTCACTTCCTGGCTTCTTCATTTCCTGCACTTAGGAAAAGAAGAGGAGGAGAAATGAGGAAGAAGGAGGAACACCAGAAAAACGCCAGAAAGCCCCAAGCCCCGCCAGCCTGGAAGAGGAGGAGCTGGACTCTGACCACACTGCAGTGTGCTCCACAAAGGTTTGTGTTTCTGGGCCTGTCTGGAGGCCTGGCAACTATTAGTAGAGCACTAACTAATGATGAGGAAAGATGATCCAGGGCTTATGGTAGTGTAGGATACAAACCCTGTTATTCCAATGCTCCTGCAGGCTGGGACAAATTGCTTGATCTGTTTCCCTCATCTTCCTCGGTTGTCAACCACCTCTCCTTCTGCTTGAGCTGCTGGAGGCTGTGACTCTATGTGTACTTTACCAGTTGCCATAAAAGTTTAAAGTTCATTGAGGACTGCAGGGAATATTGTAATACTGAGGAAGATGTCTGTGCTTTCAGCTTATGAATTTGGTCAAAGACTACACATGAACTTAACCTGAAAATGAATTTTCCCTTCCTCCAAAAAAACAAGAACTTGAAGCACTGGAATTTCCCTATCTCACTTAAAATAAAATCAGAAAGTATGACTTAAGTTTTTTAAACAAACTGGGATTCCTGATCTCTGAAGCACCCTGTCCTTCGCAATGATGTTTGTCTGCGTTGATCTCTTGTGAAACTTCTGTTTTTAACACCACCTGAATTGCATCTCATGATTTCTGTTGCATTTACTACAAATCCTCAGTTCTGTGCATGTGCTTTTAAATACAATAGATGCAGATAAATGATTTCTGTAGTGAATGACTTTTTATGTCGGTAAGACCTAAGCTTGTTGATTATGGAAAGTGAGGGAAATGGTGAGGAGCCTGGGTAGCCTGTTAATCTGCTGCTGGTATTATCTTTGGGTTTTTTGCATTTAGATCTGTGCTATTTGCTTCTTAGTCGATATTTCCTGGACAGGGAGTATTGTATGAGTACTTCCTCTTGTACCATTAAATAGATTGTAAGAGGAAGATTCCATCATCTGCACCCATCAGATTCTTGCTCTATATGGAGAAGACTTTTAAAAGCAAATAAAAAGAGGGGAGAAAGGGTGAGTTTGGTTGTAGGACTTGTGCTAATGATAGGTTTGAAAAGTGGGGTGTGGGTGGCCAAAGCATATACCTGAAGTAGGATTGGTGGGGAAATGTGGGAAACACTTCCAGCACCTTTTACATACTGAAACCTTTGACAACTACAAAACACACATCTTTCTGAACTGAGCTTAACCGCTGCTGATAGGGTTAGTCCAGGGAAGGGTTTAGAAATGCAGTCTCTGTGTTTTATAACAGCAATGTCACAGCTCACCAATATCCAAAGCTGAGTGTAAAGGTGTTCAAGAGAAATAAGAGCTTAGGATCTTTCCAAAGGCAGGAGGATCTTTACACCCCTGCTAGCAGGGCTTTGTGTGAAAACTAAGCATTAAACACATTGGCCACCAAGAAGGTGTTTTGACACAGGATCACTCGGCAGCAGCACTGTTTGTAGTGGAAAGATGAGGGCACCTGCAGTGGGCGGTGAGCTCACCTGCCAGCTGTGGCTGGTGGAGCCCAGGTACACATCTGGGGCAGGCAAATGTTGGGTTGCAGTGTGATAGGGTGTTTGGGTTTCAGAGGGCAACTGGGGCCTCGGGGATGAAATAGATGTGTGGTGGCAGGGCGGAAGCCTTGTACCAGCCCCGTTTTGTCCCAGGCTCACTCTGAGTTTTGAGGTTGGCCAAGTGAACAACTGTGGTTTCTTCTGGCCTTCACAAATAGATTTGGACCACAGAAATGCATGACTCTCCTTGCAAGGAATTGCCCTACAGGGGAGGTGGTCTTCAAGTAGCTTAGGGAAGGTTTGTTCACACCTGGGCTGACATGCTGAGATTTATTGTCACCTACAGCCTTTTCTAGGCCCTTCTGTGTAACTTCATGGTCATTTATAACCTTTTGGAAGCACCTGTGTGTGGCTTGCACTCACATAGCATCTCTCTGGCAGGGCTGGCAAAGTTTTCCTATTGATATCTTATCTACTTGTGGTTGAGAAGCTGAGACATAGGGAGGGATCTACCAGATTCCCCTTTCAGGTGCTGTTATGCTCCATGAGGAGCAACATGGCCTATCAATGTCCCAGAGGGATGAGCAACCCAATCTGAAGTCACAGCTCAAGCAAGCATCAGTTCCCACAGCACCAAGCAAGTGAGCTGGCAGTAACCCTCCCAGAGGGATGAGCAACCCAATCTGAAGTCACAGCTCAAGCAAGCATCAGTTCCCACAGCACCAAGCAAAAGAGTGAGCTGGCAGCAGGCAGACAACCTGAGTAACCCTCCTTAGTGCATCTCTATTAGCCAGGGTTGTACTGTTTATTGGTGGTTTTGTTCTTCTCTAATGGCCCTTGTGTTCTTGGGCACAGCTGTTAAGTGTGTCCTCTCTGTGATACTGTCTTGTCTTCTGGTTAGCTAAAATGTAGCACTAGCATTGTGAAGGCATGCTAAAATGAGCACTTAGTGCTGCTTTTTATCCCTCTGTTAGATTATGTTTCCCATGGCACAGGCAACAGTGTACAGGGAGAGAAGGCTCCTTGTTGCTTGCTGCCTCTTGTCTGTGTAGAAACTGCTGTTAAGAAATAGCCCCCCCCTTTGGCTTGAAGGTGGTTTTTCTCTCTGTGTTCTTGCTTTCTGGGGCAAAAAGAGCTGTGAGGGTCACCACCATTTCAGCATTCCTTTATTTGGCGGTTGTGAAGTGTTTGCTTGCCCTACTGTCTTGGCCAAAGAGTTCTTGCACAGGAGCCTCTTTTTCCTGATGCCTTGACCTGAAAGGCTGCCTTGCAGGTAGCTCCACATGCTGACTTGCCCTCTCTGTGCTCTTCTCTGGTGTGGATGAGCTGATGTAGCTCATGCCTGTGCTCCCCTTATGCTTGGCTCCTCTTCTTCCGCAAACGTGGCTGACAGTCCCTCTAGTTTTCCCCTTTGCCTTTCCATACTTACCAATTTCTATCTGGCTAGGAAACTGTGTCTGAGAGATGCCTGGTCCTTGAGCGGGGAAAATGGTCTTGATTGCTGTATCAGCTGTTGGTCAAGCTGCATGTTGTTGGTTTGCCCCTGAAACTGGTTCAACTGCTACTGTGCACTGGTGCTTTTGGTTGGGATTCTGCTCACCTGCCTTAGAAAAGAGAAGGAAAAGGGATGCTCAGTGTGGGAACATGGGAAATAAGTGAGCCATTTCTAACCAAAATCTGGGTGAGGGAGCAAGGAAGACAAATGGTTGAACTATGGTCAGCCAAGGTAACCTACATCCATCTGAGGTACATGGACAAAAGCAATATCTTTGTCTTCTCTCTCCCATTTTAGATCACGGACAGAACAGAGTCTTTCGCTCAATAAAGAAAAGGTACCTTTTAGGGTTGGTGTGGGCCTTGGGGTAAAGCAGGTCCTTTCCTCTAAATGGAGGATGCCAGAGGGCCCTACTGTGGGTATGGGCAGGAGTGACAGGCTGCCTGTGGCCCTCAAAGTCCTTCCTTCTACCTGAGGTACTGGGGGATCACCTTAATCCACTTCTTGCCTCTCCAGTAACAGCATAAAGAAGAGCCAGTCTCCTCTCCCTGTGTCGAAGATTGATGACAGGCTGGAGCAGTACACACAGGCTATTGAGGTGAGCTGCTGTGCTATCTCTCTGTCCACGCCCTGTAAGGAGCCCTCTTTGCCAGGTATAGCTCTCCCACCCTGTCTCTTAACCTCACCATCTGGGAGGTGACAACTGAATCATGTCCCCTTAGATGAGAGCAAACCTTTCTCCTGTCTCTGTCTTCCATCACAGCATAAAGTAGGTTTCTTTAGCAAGATGCCCCATCCTTGTTTCCTCATGTTTGTTGCTTAAAGGATGGGAGTATCTTGCAGGAACTAGCAAGACACAGTATTCTCCTAGAGAAGCTGGTTGCTCATGGCTTGGAAGGTTTGTACTCTTCTCTGGGTAAAAAACAGAGTTGTGGTGAATGGAATGGACTTGTGGTGGCAGGTTACAAGTGGTGTTCCCCAGGGCTCAGTTTTGGAGCCAGTCTTGTTTAATAGCCTTATCAATGACCTGGATGAGGGAGGTTGAGCCCTCCCTTGGTAAGTTTGCAAATGACTCCAAATTGTGTGGGACTGTTGGTCTGCCTGAGGATAGGAAGGCTCTGCAGAGAGACCTGGGCAGGCTGGATCAGTGAGCTGAGGCCAATTGTATGAGCTTCAACAAGGCCAAGTGCTGGTCCTGTACTTGGGTCATAACAACCCCATGCAACACTGCAGGCTTGAGTAGAAGTGGCTGGAAAGCTGCCAGGCAGAAAAGGACCTGAGGGTGTTGGTTGACAGCCAACTGAA